GAGTAAATGTTAAACTTTACAATACAGAATGTTCCCATGTGGTTTTAAAAGGTGCATTTATTGAAAAACAGAAACATGATCTCCTGAAATATATGTGTGTGTGTGTATGTATGTGTAGATTATGTGTATGTGTGTGTGTGTGTGTATATATATATATATATATATAATCTCTTTATTTTCTGGTACAGGGACATTACATAAGAGTGGGCTCTTTGAGTCAGCTAAACCCAATATTTAACAATCTCTTCCTCCTGTCTCTTTAAAATACTTTTAAAAAATGTATATGGGTGTTTTGCCTACAATTATGTCTCCAAGGCATGTTCATGCCTAGTAACTGCAGAGCCCAATAGAGGGCGTTGGTCCCCTGGAACCAGACTTACATATAGTTAGTTGTGAGCCACCATGTGGTCCTCTGCTAGAGCACTCGGTTCTCTTAACCTCTTAGCCTTTCCTCCAGGCCTTGAAATTTGATAATCTCTTGTCTCCCATTTTTACACCCTCTTTGACACAGGTAATATCCGCGTTATAGAAAAACACATGCACTCTTATCTACACAGCCATTACTTCTTGTTACTTTTTTCTTTAAATCAACAAATGACAAACAATATGGTTACTAGAAAATGCTAGCAGCAGTAACATGACTAGTGAGTAAAGGTTCTTGCCACCTACCCTGAGGAACTGAACTTGATCAAGAAAGTTATCCTCTGACCTCCACACATTTCCTATTATGTGAGCATGTGTACACACACACACACACACACACACACACACACACACACCAAAAGTGTTAAAAGAAAATGCTAGTAGTTTCTTCTTTAATCATTTGTTTACTACTATCCTGGACTCCCTAAGTCATTTGTATGCAATCTCATTTGGCGCCCTTGCCAGGCTAGAATACTATAGGAATAGGATGATTAGATAAGAAGAGTACAGAAAATGAACTGATGTTATGAAACAGCAATTGATTTCTTACTTTGTGACTTGAACATTCATGCAAACTAGTTTTCCAAGTAAAATGCCTTGTTAAGCATCCTCTCTGCCAAAAGTGTATTGCCATCTGCGTTCTACATGGCAACATTTTCTTATTTAATACACATGTCCCGCTTTGGAGAAGAGCATGGTAAGAGCTTTAATGTGACAAGAAACAGAAATAAAATAGTGAAAACACATTGTGTTTCAAAACGAATACAAGGTTCAGATTTGTGACACTATGAGAACTTGAATTGCATGTGCTATTCATTGTATGGTCATACCATGAATTCTCAATGCCATACTTTTTTTTTTAAATTCTAATGCACATGCAGTTTGGAGCTCAGAATTTATTTTAAAAAATTGTATAGGGGGCTACTATTTAAAAGAGGTTAAATTTCATTAAGTGGTTTCAAAGCCTCCAGATACTAAAGGCGATATTACCAGTAGTGGGACAGAAAGCACATTCTTGACGTGAGGAAGAGGAAATCTGAATTTTGTACCCAGCCGTACAAACTACACAAAACTTGGGCAAATCATTAAATTCCTCAGTGTTCCTATTCCCTAATTTGAACCATGAGGGCTCTGTGTTAAACTGACAGTACAAGAGCACTTTCTGAATGGTAAATGTATCACCAGCATTGTGGGATATCATTCCAAACATTTTATTTTATTGCAGTGTCAGGGGTTAAAGCCAGTGTCTCATACAGTAGTTACTGAGTACACAGACCACTGAGCCATACTCACAGCCGAATAACCGTATTTTATCCACCTATTATCTCCCCCCCCCCAACACACACACACACTAGAGATTTAGCCTAGGGCTTCAAATGGCAATCTGTACCACTAGGCTGCATCCCTACCCCCAACCCCACCCTCGTCTTTAATTTTGTCTTATTCTAATTAGACTTTAACTCATTCTGTAGCCTAGGAGACCTAAAACTTGAGAATTTCGGACTCTATCTTTATGGATTTCTGGGATTTGGGGCCTTTAGCACCAGCTAAAACATTTACCTGTTTTTGATACAAGGTTTCACTACAGAGCCTTAGCTGACATGGAACACACTATGTAGCACACACTTAGCTGGAACTCAGAGATCTGATGGCCTCTGCCTCTCTGAGGGCTAGGCTTGAAGGTCTGTCTTTGCCAGTATGCCTGGCAAGTTGACATTTTTTCACTAACTATCTTTTATTGTGGTATCTTTCTAATGTTTTTTTTTTTCCATTCAGCTTTCTTAATCATTCTTTTTTTCTTTTTTGGGGGGGGCAGGGTCTCATTTAGCCCAGGCTAGTTTAGAACTCACTTCCTGACCTTCTTGCTTCCACATCTGAAGTTCTAGGGTTAGGGGTGTGTGCCACCTTACAGAGTTTATGCTGGAACCCAGAGCACCATTCATACTCAGCAGGCACTCTCCCATCTGGCTAAGTCACAAGCCCAGCTTTCTTAATCTTTTAAGTCAAGACTTCTTGGTGGAATTCATTTGACTAAAATCACGGTGATACGTGGCTAGCAGGAAGAATACACACAAACCGCAGTGTTTATGCATACACTGGTATTATAGGATGCTTATGCGTCTCTGCAGGTGAACTGATGGAATGGATGGGAAAGAGAGAGACTGAAGCTCCAGCCCTGGCACTTAACTACCCTCTAAGTGTGCGGCCTTATTATTTATTAATTAAAGGAGATCAAAGATAATCTCCAAGCTCACTTTCAAGTGTAGCATTTTGCAGGGTTATCAGAAAAGAAAGTTTAACTAGAGATAACTTTTATCAAGGAGAGTTCACCTGTTTCTTTTGACATTCCCAAAGCACATGCCTGCTCTCCCAATGACTCCTATTTTTTGCACACTCCTCCATAATTGTGAGAATTGGAAATGACAGTTACACGGGTTTTGCTTTACAGGATAGATTATACTAGGCAAAGAACAGGAAACAACTGAGATGCTCAGCAATGCTCTACGCTTCAGTAAACTGACATTTAGACACAATCATAGAATACTCATCCATACCAACCTTCTAATACATCTTTAAACTTTTTTGACCTCTGCATTCGGACATTGACAGCACGGGATCTCTAACTCTTTCCCTTTTTGCTCTTGGGTATTGAACTCAGGGCTTCACACATGCTAAGCCTGTGCTCTACCCCTAGCCCATACTAGGACATTTAAAGGAACAATTGGGGAGAGAATTTGAAGATTTGGAAAAGCTTTAGAAAAACTCCTTTAACTAAATGCTCTTATCCAGGAGAAACAAGTCCCAGAGAAACCGGAATAGAAGTGAGATTAAGGCCAAATTCGCAGCTGGATTTCATCGCCAAGACTGATCCACTAGTACTCCTCCTATTTGCAGGGTGCGGCTGCCTGAATGTGGCAGACTGATTATAAAGGGAAGGAGTAGCAAAGAGTTGTTCTCTGTGGTCCTTTCAAGCTCACTGATTTACTCAAGTCTCCCAGCGTCTGCCTAAGAAGATCCCATCTGCCAAAACCTATAGTCAAGGTAGCGAAGACAACCAACCTCTGTCCCTCCCCAGCACTGGTTCAGGATCTCCTCCCACATCTCCTTTCAAACCAGCAGGAAGCCATTGCAATAAAGAGATTATGAAGAAATAGGGGCCTGGAATAGAGAGATGCTTGAGACAAAGAGGATGGAATAACCCTCTACATAATTCTAACCTTTGTAAGAATCTTGTTTTCTTTAGGTGCCTCCTTTTAAATAGAAGAATTCTATTAAAAGAATGTAAGAAAGAAGAGTGAATTACAACAGCAACAGGAAATTGGGAGCTGTCTTTTTGAACACATTTAAAACCCTAATATTCATCTTCAATTCTAAGGCATCCTATTCATTAGAAGAAAATGCCATCCATACTTCTTTTTAAAAGAGAAAGCAAATCAGAAAACCAAGCGAGGAACCGTTTTTTCTTTTGCTCTGTTAAGACGACAAGAATCATTATTTTTCTACCTTTGGCCCGGCTGAGCTTACATTAGATAGCCAGATCTGGGAGCTCGAACTGGGAAAAGTGAGGTGTATGTAGGTGGAAGCAGGCTGAAGGCACAGAAGGAAGCTTAAAGGACGGGTTGGCAGAGGGGAGCTGTGCCTCAACATTTGGGTCTGATCTTTTTCCATTTCACTCAAAACCCATCGCTTCCATTTTAAATAAAAAGAAATAAGCAACCAGTTAAAACTTAGTTAGGGATGACACAAAGTGACAAGGTTGTCTCTAAACGCTCTGCTAAGCCTGCTCCGGTTCTCAGAGCACAGTGAGATTCGGCGGCAGAAAAGAGATTCCTGCTGAAGACTTCAGAGCCGAAGCGCTACAGGATCTGTGTGCTTGTGCAACAACAGTAGTGTCTTCTTCTCGAGCCGAAGCTCTTTTGGGTTCAGGATGACTGGCGGCCGGGGGCTGGACCGAACCGCAGAGTCTCAGCTTGCAGGTGTGCAAGGGTAGAGTGGAAAGGGGGACCGGGAGCTGCAGAGCCATCCGTCTACGCCGTAGGTTCTTTGCGCCTGAGGCAGCCCGGACAGATGCCAGCTAAAGAAAACATTCCTCCAAAACAAACCCCACCGACTTCCCCAGAGCTCCCCGAAGACGCGTGGGCGGAGCGGGCTTAGTGGAATCCACGAGGCGCCCCGCCGCCCACGTCGCGTCCGGGAGCGCGCAGCGGCCCCGCGCCACCCCTAGAGTCGGGGTTTGGGCTCCGAGGAGTACTCGTTTGCACTCTGTAGTAAACAAAAGTATGGTCGCCGCCTCCACGCTGGTTTGCCTCCTAGCGATCCGGACTCTGAGAGGCGAGAGACTCAGAAACACTTGAGAATTACAGAAAATAATAACGGAGATTGAAAAAAAAAAAAAGAAGTGTGTGAGAAAGAAAAACACCCCGCTACCCCCCACCAACCTACTGCCGCCTCCCGAGGGAAAGCAACTCCCGCCCGGGTCCACGTTCATTGGCTAGCTAGGCGGGGACGTGTCGCGCCCATTGGTCGCGCTGACTGTCGGTCAGGGGCGGGTCGGCGCGCGCGCCGCCGCGGGCGGGGAGCCTCTGCAGATCCCGTAAGTCGGGAGGCTGCGGAGTCGCTGCAGTCCCCGCCGCCGCCACATTCAACAGGCAGCAGCGCCGCTGTCGCGCGGCCGTGGGGAGAGAGAGCGAGCGGCCCCGCGGTATCCGCCCGTCTGCTCTTGCGTCCGTGGCCCTGTCAGCAGGAGCGTGGCGCCCGAGCTGCCGGCCACCGCGGCCTGGTCCGTGTCCCGTCCAAGCCACGAACTCGGAGGATTCCTGGACCCCGGTGGCCCCGCGAAGTTAAGTTCTGGGCGCGTCCGTCCGCTGCGCCGCGCCGCGCCTCGCTCCGGCGTGCGCCCGCTGACCGCCGCCCCCAGCCTCGGAGCGAGTCTCCGGCCGAGCGCTCCGCGCCCCCGGTGGCCGCGACTCCCGGTACTCGGCTGGTGGGGGAGGGGCGGGGGTCACCATGGCCGAAGCGCCCCAGGTGGTGGAGACCGACCCGGACTTCGAGCCGCTGCCTCGGCAGCGCTCCTGCACCTGGCCGCTGCCCAGGCCGGAGTTTAACCAGTCCAACTCGACCACCTCGAGCCCGGCGCCGTCGGGCGGCGCAGCCACCAACCCCGACGCGGCGGCGAACCTGGCCTCGGCGTCCGCTGTCAGCACCGACTTTATGAGCAACCTGAGCCTGCTGGAGGAGAGTGAGGACTTCGCGCGGGCGCCGGGCTGCGTGGCTGTGGCGGCCGCCGCGGCGGCCGGCAGGGGCCTGTGCGGGGACTTCCAGGGCCCCGAGGCGGGCTGTGTACACCCGGCACCGCCGCAGCAACCCCCGCCGACCGGGCCGCTGTCGCAGCCCCCACCCGTGCCCCCCGCCGCCGCGGGACCACTCGCGGGACAGCCGCGCAAGAGCAGTTCGTCGCGCCGCAACGCGTGGGGCAACCTGTCGTACGCCGACCTCATCACCAAGGCCATCGAGAGCTCGGCTGAGAAGAGGCTCACGCTGTCGCAGATCTACGAGTGGATGGTGAAGAGCGTGCCCTACTTCAAGGATAAGGGCGACAGCAACAGCTCGGCGGGCTGGAAGGTGAATGGCCCCAGGGGACGCGGTGGGGCGGCCTCGGGGGTCGGCAGGGTGGGTTTGCGGGCCCCGGAAATGGCAGGGTGTGCGGAGTGAGCGGCGCGAGCGGGTGAGACATGGCAGGTGCGGCCGGGGCTTCGCTGAGACCTGGAGCTTTGGACCAGTTGCGTGCGAGGGAGTTCTAAGCGGGACGCGGGAAGGGCTTGTTTGGGCAATGAGTGCAACGCCGGGGCAGGCGTGAAAGTTAGCCGATTGCCGGAGCGAGGGGATCACTTGGGAGGGCTCTCTCTACTTGCCACCCCGGACCCGCGAGGCTTCGGGCGGCAGCTCTCCGCCCACACGCCAGCCTTTGGCGGCCAAGGTTTTCCCGGACCCGCCAACTGAGGCCTGAGGTGGAGCCCTGGCGACACCCTCCACCCCCCTTCACGCGCACGCACCCTTGGGGCTCCGGCTGCGGGTGGAATGGCTAAAGACGCGCAGCAGCTGGCTGAGCTAGGTGCGGGCCCGCAGCTGCTAAAGGTTCCCGAGGCCCGAGCAAATTTTGTTTCATCCTGAGTGGCCCGAGCAGGTGGTCGAGCGCGCCCACTCACTGTGTAGGGTGTCCGATGCGTGCGAGTGGGCGGCCACGGCTTTTGGGCGCTGGGCAACCTAAAGTTCAAGTGTGACCCTTGGCCGGGGCGGGAGCCGGCCGGGAGGGAGGGACCGCCTGTACAGGAAGCTACGGCCTTTAAAGGGCCAGTGCCTCCAGCCTGGGAGGCCACACTTTAATACTCAGAGAAGTGTTTCCATGGTTGGTTTTGCTTGGGGGGTGCTTTTAATTGGAATCCCAGAAGGTGCTACGCGTGGCCAGATTACGCAGCACGGATGTTTTCTTTAAGCAGAAAACATGAAGGTACCTATGAGGGGCAAGCCTGGGAGCTTTGAGTGAGTATTTGGTGCAAGTCTTTAAGTGGGGTTCTCGCTTAGGAAATTGCCAGAGACGTGCTTCAAAGGAGGATTGCAGATTTGTAGATGTAGGTGCTCATGGTCCTTGTTTACCTTTCTGAAGGTGGCAGGGAGAGACCGAGGTGACTTAAGAGTTGGACTGCAGACATCCCTACCCGGTGGTGGGGGATAGTAAGGGCCTGGGGACCTTTTGGAGGAAAGAATTTGGAGGAGAGCAAAAGGGGACACACTCTCTGGTGGTTATCGGTGGCTGACAGTTTCTCAGCGTCACAGGTGTACATTGATCTTAAGATTCTCCAGTTTAATGCAACATTTCTTTTTAGCCTTTCTCCCTCCTGGGCTTGTCTGTACAGTGTAGCAGTCTTTGCTTCGTGATTGTTACAGCAAGGTGGTTTCACACACTCTGTCATCCCTGTGGTTAAAGTAGCTAAAAGGTCAAGTTACTCACATCATGGGAAAGGTCTTGGAGAAAGAGCCAGAGCTTGTTTTGTTTGGTTTTGCCACAGTGTGTTTTAAAGATATATACTATACCTGACATGCAGTAAACCAAGTGTTCCAAAAAGTAAAATACCTATCTCATATTCTAATTCACAAAAATTGCTTATAAAGTCCAATTTTACTTAACATGTGACTTTAAGTACTTGCCTGCTTTACTCATCTATGGAACTTCAGCAGTTACATAAAACATCTGCCATTAAAAACAAAACAACAAACCCTAAAACCCTTTGGGCACCCAAGTACAGTGTGCACTTACACCATTCTTTAATGTTCTTGGAGAGGGATACAACCTACTTCGGTGTTTGAGTGCCTTACTTTAAAGATAAAGGCAGTGTTTGGTTATTTTTAGTTTTGCCTTTCCGATGGCTTTGTGAAGATATTTATAACTTAATTTTAAAAATTAGTCTTGGGTCACATTTTTAAAGCTATTTTATTTCATCCTTGTTTCTTAATCATTTAAGTGTAATTATGCATTAATTTTTTTTTTCTCTCATTGGAACCAAGAAACCTGTTAAGTGTGAAATAAGGGCCCTTCAGAAGTGAAGGTCTAGCCACTGTTGCTTGAGCAACTAGAAAATTTTGGGGTGGGAGCAGGTCACCTGAGTTTTCAAAGGAGTAGATGTTTGACTGTAAGAACTCTGGTGTAAGCTAAACTGTAGCAAATGTGTTTTCAGTCTGAGTAAAGGGGTATTTTAAGAGGAAACCTGAACCGTTGTAACTCATAACTTGTCTCTGGTTAAAGCTTTCATAAGAATGAGTTACCGTACTTGTCAAAACCAAGTTTCACTCCCAGATCTGAAAGATCCACTGAAAATTCATAAAAGGAAGAAAGTATATTATGACTTAAAACCCATTCTAAAATGCAAATTAACCAAAACTTAACTGTTGTAGTACTGTGGAGAAGTAGCTTTGGACCAGAGTATTTCCTCCGATTAACTATTAGGCCAAATCATGGATTAAACTGCTTTGTGATAACGCTTCCTGGGACTTAGGCCAGAGAATTGAAAGTCTTTTACAAAGGACAAAGTAACTGAAAAACTTAGTGTCCAAAAATTTATTTTTAGAAATTGGGATGTTGTTCAGTTGGTAGAATGGTTTCCTAGCATGCAGGAGGTTCTGGGTTCACACCCTAGCACTGTATAAACAGGGTGTGGTGATACATGCCATCATTTCTAGGCCTTGTCTATAGTCTTCAGGTATACAGGGAAATCATACATATTTGTATACACTGGTCAGATATTTATAGAGTAAATTATAAATTTAAAACTGGGCATAGTGACACATGCTTGATATTGTGGGATTCAGAAATTAGAGGCAAGAGGATCATGAGTCAAAACTCATCCCTTCTCCATAGTACCCTGGGCCACCCGAGTCAAAGAAAATGAAAGAAAAAACAAAACTTTTAATGTTTAGTCAAGCATTGAGCATATACTTTTCTTGTTTGTGGACATGGTGTGTTAGTAACATCTGTCTTAATTGTGTGTACAAGCACACATTTGTCAACTGGTATGCATGGAATGGGGTGTCTTCCTCAGTCTCCACCCTATTTTTCAAGATAGGTTCTTCATAGGGCATTTAGAAATTTGGTGGCATTTAGAGATTTGGCCAGACTGGCTTGAAATGAACTCCAGAGGGTCCAATACCCAGTTACTGTATCACAGGCTTTTATGTTGTTACCTGAAATCAGAACCCAGTGTCTCAGGCTCTCTTGGCAAGGACTTACTGAGCCATTTCCCAGGCCTCTTTATTTTGATATAGGCTAGAACTGTCATAAGTGACACCAGTGGAACCTAACATTTGGAAGACCTCGGATCTTTTTAGACAGCACTGCATTTGTAAATAGTGAAACTTCATTTCCATGACTGGTTTCCTCACTTTTCTGAAGCCTGGGAAGTAGCATTGTGAGCAGCACCTTTTCTTTCTTTTTAAGTGGCAGTTTTGAGTTGACTCTTGTTTATTGTTTTGATGGAACTTTAAAAATACTTTAGGGGTGGGGGTGTAGCTCACATGGTAGAGTGCTTGTCCAGCATGCAGGAGAGCCTTCATTTTATCCCTGTGTTCAGTACAGGCTGGTGATCATAGCATGTGTCCAGTGAAGGCAGGAGGATTTACAAAGTTTAAGGTCATTCTTGGCTGAAAACTCCCCAGGGTTTTTGAGGCACTGCTTCAGCAACAACAAAATTATTTGACTGTAACATTTAACATTTAAAGATGGTTTTAGGGTTGTTGTTTTTTGTTCACTCACTACTTGTTAATTTTGAGTGAAATTCCTTTTTTTTTCCTCAGTAAAATGATAGTGCATTTTCTTAATATCGTCACATTTATCTTTAGTCTGCAGTTTAGTCTTTTAATCTTTAGGTGAGTAGCTACAGACAGCTGATTGGGAGGATGGCTGCTGCATTGTGCACACTCACCTGTGACTTAAGAGAGCCTTTCATCTGAGATGGAATAGAGAGAGGACTTGATGGTAACATTCCTACTTTGGGTTTATCATTTATTTCTGTGTGTGTGTGTGTGTGTGTGTGTGTGTGCGTGTGTGTGTGTGTGCGCACGTGCGTGCGCGCGCACGCGCGCACACACACACACACACACACACACGGGCATCTATAGGAATCAGAAGAGGTGTTGGGATACCCTGGAACTGGAGTTACAGGTGGTTGTGAGCCATGATGTAGCTGCTGGTAACCAAACCTTGGTACTCTACAAAAGCAGTGATTGCTCTTAGCCTCTGAGCCATCTCCCTAGCTCCAGTTTCAAGTATCTTGTGCTTTTTCTTTTTGTGGTCATTGAAGTTACCTTAAAACCATTTGTATATTCAACCAAAACCTTCATGCCTGCAATAGGCTGACTACATGGAAAGATGAATAGAATGAAGAAGGGAATAAGGAGACCGACTAAAGCTAAATGTGTATCTTATTTGTTAAATGCTAAAACGTTTTAGGGATGTGAGTTCTGTACCTACCCCCACTTAGGGGATACCATAGCAAGAGGACTGTCTCTGTAACAGAAAATACATGCCAAATCTGAAAAGCATGAGAACAGTGTTGTTACACTTCACCTATGAACATTTTCTCAGAAGGAAGGGCCTTCCATGTTTATTGCTTAAGGATTTTTCATACATGCATATGATTTGATCAGATCCACCTTCCATTCCCTCTCCTCCAGTTCTTTCCCTATTTTCCCCAACACTTTTACCCTTTTAGCTTCATGCTCTGTGTTAAATGCACCGAGTCTACTTATGTCTGTATGTGCATGGGTGTAGGACTATTAGAACATGGGTAGCTTCTTGGGACCACATCCCTGAAGAACACTGACCCTCCTTCCCCTAGTAGGCATCAGCTGTCAATAGCTCCTCAGCTAAGAGTGGGGATTTATTAGCCACTCCCATAGCCATGCTGGGGGTTTGGTTGGCGGCCTTATGCAGATCTTAACACTTGCAGTCATAGCCACTGTGAGGTCATTTTTGGCCTGCCTCTGTCATACCCAACAGATACTGTTTTGCTGTACATGGCCACTACTTGTGACTCTTAAAAATCTTTCTGCCTCTTCTAAGATAATTCTTG